GTGTTTCTTGACCTTAACCCACCAAGAGTTATCATCCACTGCAAAATGAAACATTTTGGTTCTTAACACCATGAAATCCATCCTAAGGCACAGCTACAGTCAAAATGGGAACAATGGATGGCCATCGTGATCACATATGGTCTGGTCTATGGATGGCAGCAGAGACACAATGAGAAATCACATCATCAATTGCCGTAGAGAATTCAGCCACAAATTTGAATTGCAGGTTCCAGTCCACCATTTAATTACCTCCTGGGGAAGTATCTTTAACCTAAGGCCTTTGCAGCTGACCACTCTTTTTTCAGAGCCCAGCATGTTATCCAGCAGACTGAATTGGTCGTGTTGTTGAATAAGAGTTTTGGAATACAATTCACAGGGGAAAATGCTGGGGACCAACACGAGTAGAATTCCTGTGTACACACTTGGCTTCAGCTCTTTGGCTGCTCAAAATTTCTCCCAATTTCTGGATGGTTGCCGGCAGAAGTTTGGTGGTGAAGAAAGCATAGGACTCCCCACCTCCAACAAAAACAAGTGATAGAGTCATACTGCATGGAAACAGACTCTTCAGTCCAACTTATCCATGCCAACCAAGTTTCCCAAGCTAAACTAGTCCCACTTGCCTACATTTGGCCCATATCCCTCTAAACATTCCAGTTTTGTGTAAGACATCACCATGAGGATGTGGGATAATGCATTCTCAACATTCTCAGTAACGAGTGATAACTTAAACCCCTGTATTCTACATAGCACCTTTAACAATTCTTATCTATTCCTTAATGCTAACCAGGGTGACTAATAGCTTATGGTCTATGTGAATAGCAAACTTGAGCTCCAGGAAATGTCAGAAACTTCAGTCACAAGCCCAGCGAATGAGTTTTAATGATAGCACACCACTGCTGTGTCTCTCAGTGCCCTGGCAGAGCATATCAGTCAACAGGAACCACTGCACTGAACTTAGAGCAGGATATTGCCAAGCTTTTGGATGACACATCAACTGTGACCACAGTGGCTAAGTGTGAACCTGCCTTGCTGTAAAGTGAGTATTTCCTTGATTCTGTTGAATACTTATTACTGGTGTTTGTCCTGGTACAAGGCATGGTCCTGCTTGAGCAGCTGGTACTGTGGTTTCTTAACTTGTACTAAATAGGGCCGGCATTTCTCCAAATAATTGTCCATGCCCATGAAATCTTGGAAGGTTATAATGTTAAGGGGTCTCAGATAGTTCCTAATTGCTCTGTCTTCAAAGATGCGTAAACAATTTGCCGATAAAGATTGATACTGGGTTTACAGAGTCACATTTACAATCAAGTACAAGGCCCATGATTTCAGGTTTTGCAATCATGCTCTGAGCCTGGCATTGTGCTCCAAAGTTTAGTGCCATGACTGAGGTTATTGGCTGAGAGACAGGGAGCTTTACAAGCCATTCCAAAATGCTGGCTATGGCACACTGGTAAATTTCAGGCACTGAGATGATTCCAAATGGTCGTAAATTGAGTTCCATAACTTGTGGCTCAGTTGCAAATCCAAGCAGGCTATCTGCTTCAGTACTCCTGTTTTGGGGGGACAAGAACTTCTGTAATTTGTCTTCCCTTACACTGAAGTCCAGCTGTCACCTGTCCCTATCCTGATGTCACAAGGCTGATGGATGGCAAAACGAAGGCTTCAGACACAGCACTGTGTCAGGAAGGATTGACACTCCTACTGTATCTAACCTCAAATGTGTTCACGATCATTGACCATGATATCAATCTTCCAGAAATCCTCTTCAGATTTTGTGACCTCCTCCAAAAGAGATACTTCCTATTCATCGGTAATTGGAGCTGAAAGTTTGTGTGGTGCCACAGTCAGTTTGTAATGCCCCCTCTGTCTGCCAGGACTACAGTGATGATGTGACAGTTTGAAGCCAATGAAGGTTTTTCTAACCACAATGTGGACTTGGAGCGATGACAGTAACTGTGCCCTCAGCCTTCCCATTCAGAAGTGTTGGACACACTCTGGGGACTCTCCCAGGTGCATGCTTAGTTGGTGTCCAATGAAGATTCTTAAAATGAATTTAAAGGTTACCGCTAAGCCTCAAACACTGAATTCTTTTTGGTTTGTTGTCAAATAGTCTCAACAAAAAGAAAAACTGTAGTGATGCTGTCCTGTTTGATGGCTTCTTCCTCGATCTTGTGCAGTCAGTATAACCTATGTATTGTCAGGTTTTTGATGGAGGCTTATGGTGGTGGTCAGTTACCTGTTACAGTAGTGATGCCAATTGATCCAGAATGGGCCCTACACACTGTCAGATTTCAGAAAGAGGAAATGGCATCTTATTCTATCGTTCTACATTTCTATTGTCCCTTTGGCTGTCACCTGGCTCTAGTATCCACAAGCTGTTCTGATTACTACTGTGGGTGCTTTCTTCAAGTGCATTGTGGCTGCTGAAGGGTTTTCCCAGTCTTTTATCACATCATTGGGAATCATCCACAGATGGCTCACAGATTGCACATCACCATTTGCAGCACATAGGAATGGCACAAGCAGACCCTAGGAGCGACAGGCAGATGGGGACTGGGCACGAGGATCTTGCAAACTCAGTAACATTTCTCGCTTATTTACATTATGCATAGAGGCATTGTACAGCCTGACCTTTCTAGAACCTTTTCCAACCAGGTCCTGTTCCCACGTGATCTGACATCTTCTGACATCACTGGTGACACAGTCCGGCCCCATAGGCTACGTACCTCACCATCATCTCTCTGAACCCTCAAAATGATCGTACTGCTTACCTGACATGTGGTACTGAATGAGCAGAAATTTCCTTCACCTGAACATTGCCTTTATTCCCAATCACAAACTCCATTCTTGGGCTATCAACTCCACCATCTTTCCGGCTGAGGCTGAATAAGACTGTGCACATCACAGTGTCATATTTGGAAATGAGATTAACTTCACAACATGTCTGCACAGACACCATATATTTTCACCATAACTTCACCAGATTTCATCCCACCTAAACTCATCTGCTGCTCAAATCCTTATCTATGCATTAGTTGCCTCTAGGTTCGACTAGTCCATGACATTCCTATCTGGCCTCTCTTCTTCTTGCTCTTGTAAGGTTACTCTTGTAAAATTTCATTGTAAAATCCCAACCCACACCAGATCTTGATTATACATTATTCCTGTACTTATTGAACCAAACTGACTCCCAACAAAGCATGAACTCAATTTTGAAATTATGATACTTGTTTTAAAGTTAATCTATGGCTTTTTGCTCCTCCATATTTCTATGATTTCATCCTCCTCTGTAGTCATCCAAGACATCCATGTTCATCCCAATTTTGACCTCTCACTCACCCCCAATTTTAAACTCTCCACCACAGGCAACTTTGTTTTCAATGGCTAAGACATTAAGCTTTAGAATCCCTTCTTATATCTTTCCATCTTTCTTTAATCCTTTAAGATGTTCCTTTAAAAATATACGTATTTGACCTAATCTTTGGGCAGCTGCCTTCACATCTACTTCAATGACTCAATATACAATCTTATTCGATAACACTTATGAAATACTTTAACAACACCATATAAATACATGCAGTGCTCTTTTTAACTGGTAAAGTAAGCCTTTGTGTTCATTTCAATGGCTGCTGTTTGCAGTGAATGGACATATTTAAAAAGGTAAGTTTAGCATTGCTATTTAACTTCTTCTCCAGTGAGCTCAATACCATTTTTTATATTCAACAAATTTTCCTGCATGATGTGTATTCAATTTCAGCCATCGTAATTCTGCTCAGATACAAATTTTGCCTGGGTTTCTGGAAATTATTAGACTCTTATTGGAGTACACTTATTAGACTCCAAAGTCCCTCTCTTACTTTAGTGACTTTGACCAGCTTGCTTTATCTTTCTGAATCCATTATCATTTAGATAGAGTGGACATAGTCGGAGTTTAGCTCCACTGGCAATTTATTCAGCACAGTTTCTAAGCTGCGCATTATTTAAATCAGTTGGCTGGATGGCTAAAGGATGGTGTAGAATGATGTTTCCACTCTGATTGTGGCAGTCATCCTTCACATGCATCAACCCGATACAGAGTCATGCCCCTCAAACAAATAACTCTATTCGAGAGAGAGATGCCTATGTCAGAATACAGAAAATTACATCTGAAGTCTGATACTGCTCTTTTAACTAGTATTTATGGAGTCATAAAGTCAGAGTCATACAGCACAGAAACAGACCCTTCAGTCCAACTTGTCCATGCTGACCAGACATTTGTAGCATTTGGCCAATATCTCTCTAAACCCTTCCTATTCATGCATCCATCCAGATGCCTTGTAATTGTGCCTCCACCACTTCCTCTGGCAGCTCGTTCCATACATGCATCACCCTCTGTGTGGGCAAGTTATCCCTCCGGTCCTTTTTAAATCTTTCCAATCTCACCTTAAACCTATGCCCTCTAGTGTTGGGCTCCCCACCCTAGGAAAAACGACCTCGGCTATTCACCCCATCCATGCTCATGATTTTATAAACCTCTATAATGTCACTTGCTGTCTCCTGCAACTAATCCACTTCTAAATTTTTCTTATTATGCCCGCTGTCTTAATATTATATAGGTGCACTTTAGGCCTCATTCACGACTCTATCAAAGTATACATGCACTGCAACATACAGCTCTTCAATGTCACAATAAAATGTTGCTTCCTTTGTACAGAATAAAAACAGATCACTGTACATGAAAAGCATGTTATTAAATCCATTATATCCAGAAATATTAACAATGTTGAAAGCAAATAGCATCACTAAATATTCTCATATAGCATCGCCGAATAAGCAACAAACTTACTGCTTGCTGAAAATTATCTGTCTGTAACATTCAAATCAAAAAATTGGAGGCTTAATTTCTCAAGTTCCACCAACATATAATGTACTGCAAGGTCACTACTTTATATCTTGTCATTTAGGGATCCATATTTTATTCAGTCAAATCATCTTTCCCAATAATTACATCTCAATCTTACCTGAGCAACACTACAGTATCAGACATGAAGGCTCCAACAGCTACATCTGTGAAAAACAACAGATTGATAGTTGTCACTAGCTCAAATAAATCAGATTCCAGGCAAATTTCTTTTCATTATTATTTAGCAGTATTAATTAGAAGGGAAGGAATGGCAGGCTCTGTACTCATCCATCATTCAAAAACTCCATACAGACTCAACAATCAGAAAACAAATTCTCCAAAACACTTTCTTTTTCTCTACAATAAATACAATTATTTCCACTGAACCATTTCTGATTCAGCCTAAGGTTGAAGAATGATTTACTTGCATTTTGCTTTCTTCACAATGGTGCAAAAGGAGGCAAATTTCAGGTTGGAGATCAATTTAGGATCCTACATATAGAGATACCTCTTATAGAGGTACTAGTCATTTTGGAATGTATTTAGCTGTTAAACCTACATTGTCAAAAATCCAGTAAATCTCTGGATTGATGAGAAAGTTAGATGAAACCTAGTCTTGGTAGGGTTCTGCCTGAATTTTAGATCCTGGCAGTGAAATCTTTTGTGTATTCACATGTGTTGTAAGGAGTTGCTTCTGGGTGAGTTCCTGGACAACTCCAGTCTTAAGGTTTCCACGATAGTCTTGACAGCTAAAATCTGTTAACCACTTTATTGAGGCCCCTGAAAGAGCCTTAAATGCCTGTAGATAAAGACAATCAATTCAAAGACTAACTACATTTACACTGCCATATCGGGATTGTTCTTATGCTGCTAATGTTTTGATTAGAAAGACTCTCAAGTAAGTAACAGTATTTTCAGGCAGTGTTTTCCATAAGTTTAGCTTTTCAAAGGTCGTTTGAGGTAGTTTTCTGTGGCTCACCCTGACCATGCCAACAGTGTCAGTTCATAGTCCACCATTCTTCATTGTAGCAACAGTGGATTCAACTTGCTCCTGGTCAAACTTCAGGGAAGTGAAAATTCAGTCAACATCCCAAAACCTAACTCCACCTAGCAGGTAGGTCCATTTTCCACTCTAACAGACCACTGAAATTTCAGTATTGTGCAATTTAAATGTTGTATAGTAACTGAATAGATTTAATAGACAGATGTCTCCCAAATATAACGATCACCTCTGGAAGGTAAATGGCCAAAACATTAAACTGACTTCAAAGCTGAATTTTAGTCAAAATATAGTAAAGATATAAAGTCACCATAGCCCAAGAGTCTACTATTGGTGCCACTTTGCATTGGAAACCAGCCGCCCATCCAGCTGAACGAACAGACCCCCATCAGTTAATTGGTTAACTGCTGGTTTGCAATGCAATGTGATAGCAACAGCACGGGTTCAATTCTTGCACTGGCTAAGGTTACCGGGAAAGTCATGCCTCTTGACCTCTCCCCTTGCCTGAGGCTTGGTGACCCTCCGGTTTAAATCACCACCGGTCATCTCTTTCTAATGAGAGAGCAGTCCTACGGACCTCTGAGGCTATGGTGACTTCACCTATCAAAACATACATGCTTGTGAAGAAAATAAAGCACAAATCAAACTAAAATAAAATAAATTACATTGTTCTAAGCTTGGAGTTTACCATTCCCCTTTTTGCAAGTACAGAAAAGTCGACTGAATAAACCAGGTGTCAGGTCAAAAACTTATTAACAAACTATTCACCTGTACTCGACAATGATATGATCACCATTAGAATTATGTGTTGGTCAGAGGTGAAATATTTCAGAAATGCATATAAGTAGTCAACTCTTATCTGTTGCACAGAGTCCATCAGCATCTTGTTCATTTAATTTCTTCCATCCATGAGGAACTTGACAAAGGTGTTGTATCTTTGAAACAAGTATTTATGACCCTTATATACGTTTGCTACCAACTGTTGTTTCTGATGGTAGCTTAACAAAATCCAATATTGGCTCCTTTGTGATTGGTTTTAAAATGTATAACACACCACTTTTTTTGTTGCTCATCTTCAACATTCATAGAAATTTTCAAAAATACCAAATAATTTAGTTCCTCCACATTAGATTTGTGGAGGAAAACTGAACACTTTGACGCACTAAATGTATGAATGAAAATTTGAAAATTACCTGAATAACCATTATCATCAACATCTACACCTCCAGTTATGGATTGGCCAAATGCGCGCAGAGCATTATTAATCCGTAGTCCATGGATTCGCTGTAAGAGTTTGAAATCAAAATTATGATCAACCAGTTTTAACTTTTTAACACATCAAAATGTTCAAAATTTCTGATTCTATGACTCTTTCTGTGCCATAATTTTTCTAGGATTCCACAGTGATTAATTCAATTCCCAGCCCTAGTTTTTGAAATATTTCTTCCCCTCTTGCCCTAGAGGCTGTCAACCACTCTTGGCTCTAATAGTTCCTATATACCCACCGCAGCTATCCTTCATCCATCCCTACCCAGGTGAATTTCCTTATAAAATCATTAAATCCTGGAAAAGAACTAATGGATGCACATGCTAGTGGCAAGAAGAACTTCCAAGTCTGGGAGGATACACCAGTGCCCTAAAGCAAGGGACAATCCCAAAGGGTAATATTTTCCCACCTGATTGGAATAGACCTTAAACAGACAAGTGACAAACTTATTCACTAAGGGTCAGTATCAGAAAACCAGAGACTGAAACTTAGTTACTCCATGACTGGAATAACCAGATTGAACAACATTGATTTCTTTATTTTTAAATTTCAGAAATGCACTCTTTTCTACTATTTAAACAGGACATATCTTGGGTCTACTTTATTGATGAAATGCTATGACTTTGTAGCTGAAGTCTACACTAAGATTTATGAAATGATATGGTGACATGATTTACTTGTTCAACACAGATATCTGAAAGGCCAAGTTTTAGATCAAATTAAATTTCAACCACTTACTTGAGAAAAGCTGGACAATATCCCTTTCTCATTTCCATTGTAAATATAAATAGCTCCCTGCTGATCCTCTTCTTGGGGAGCTCCAATTGCTATATCTGTTGTGGAATTAAACAAAGTCAATTAGAGTCATAGAGACATAGAGATGTACAGCACAGAAACAAACCCTTTGGCCAACTCATCCATGCCGAGCAGATATCCTGAATTAACATAGTCCTATTTGCCAAGATTTGGCCCATACCCCTCCAAACCCTTCCTATTCATATATCATCCAGACACCTTTTAAATGTTGTAATTGAATCAGCCTTCACCACTTCCACTGGCAGCTCATTCCATACACACACCATCCTCTGCATGAAAAGTTTCCCTTTATGTCCCTTTTAAATCTTTCCGCTCTCACCTTAAACCTATGTCCTCTAGTTTTGGACTCCCCCATCCCAGGGAAAGGACTCTGACTATTCACCCTATCTGAGTCCTTCATGATTTTATAAGCCTCTATAAAGGTTAGCCCTCAGCCTCCAACACTCCAGGGAAAATAGCCCCACCATATTCAGCCTCTCCCTGTAGCTCAAACCCTCCGACCCTGGCAAGATCCTTGTAAGTCTTTTCTGAACCCTCTCAAGTTTCACAACATCTTCAGTGTACTCATGACTCAAATGCCTCATGCACAACTGTAACTTCAATGCTTTAAAACAACCACAACTCCATTTACATAATGTGTCTAACAAGGTTAAACGTTCCAAAGATGATACCTGATGTGAAATGATGCAATGCAGAAAAGTAATTTCCCCAACCATGTATTTTACATGTCCCAAACCTGCATATCCATCTTCATTAATGTCTCCAAGGTCCACGATTGCCTCTCCAAATCTTGCTGCGTAAGAATTTCTTCCAACTAATTCCATCGCCAGCTCTTCCATCACTCCCTTTTACAAAAACAATACCTCTCAAGACTATATCATTGGAGATTTATTAAATATTTATTAATCCAAGAGAACTTCTTCAAATCTTACCAATCCACTATTCAAGTAAACGTACACCCTCCCTTCTTCTCTGATTATGCTGTACATGGGGGCTCCCACTAACAGATCTGAGAAGCCATCTGAATTCAGATCCACCGCACAAACTGATGAGCCGAAGTATGAGCCAAGCTTAAAGCAAAAGTAACAAGTGAAACACTATAACCTTTACAGAACCACAGAATTAAATAATACTTGAATGCCATACCATTTTACCCTTTGCCGTGAAAATGATTTTCAACGTCTGTTCATGCTGTTCAAAAATGTAGACCTGCAAAAATAATTTCAATCATCAGACAAATCACGCCTTTCATTTGTTTACTTCATAATTTGAAGGAAGGAAAGTTTCATTTCTCAACACTGCATTACCGAGAAATTTATGTACTGAGTAACCCAACCACATTATCCATTAGATATACCAAAAAGCAAAACTATTTGGTCACATTCCAAATTTCAGTCACACCACCACAGCAATGGAACAGCTCTCAAAACTACAAATAATATTCCTGATTACTGTTGTGCATTATCTGTGCATATTGCCAGAATGACTTCACATCATTGACATGAACACAGTTCTCCAATCTCTCTCTCTTCCATTTTCCAGCTTGGTGGGATTCTACTCATTTACCTTCACTTCTAATCAAAACCAAAGCATCTGAACACTAGTTTCTCATTTAGTCCCTGCATCCCTATCATCAGATTCCAAGGATCTGTACTAACTTCTGGACTCTCCTCATCTGCAATTTGCACCTTGGAAATATCATATGAAGCAATCAAACTGGCTTCTATCCTTACGACAACGATATCTAAAACTACACCTCCAGCAGCCTTCTCACCACTCAATTGCCCCAGTGCTGTCATGCACCTTTTCTACTTTCAGATAAGTGGCGATTTCCTCCAGTTAAACATTGGGAAGATTGACACCTTTACCTGTAGCCTCCACCACAATTTCAGCATCCCTGTGGTAAATTTCATCTCACTTCTGCCACTATCTCAATTTGAACCATACTATTCAAAATCTCAGCATCTTGCTGAGCTCAGACCAATGCTTCTAACTTCATCTACTCTCAGTCACAAATACCATGCACTTCTACCTCCATAATTATCATTAATCTTTGTCTCAACCTATCTGCTGCTCCAGATTCCAATATTCCAAAAATTATGGCAGTCTACCATCCCACATCAACTCACCAAAAATTCTAACTGAGCACTATATCAGATCCTGCTCACTCATCTACCGTCCCTGTTAATCTGCAATGGATCCTGATCTCCTAACACCTCCAATTACAAATTTGTACACTTGTGTGTACAAGCATCTTCCCCCACTTAAAAGCACTTATTAACTTTGGTTCCCTTGCCTCTTCTTCATTATCATTCATGCCACATCTTTCGTTGGAATTTATTTGGCCTGCCTACTCAATCCTGCAACTATCTGATACAGCTACAAATGTTGTACATCAGATTCTTCTCAGAGCTACTGCTGAATGACTGCATACCCAAACATACGCTTATTCTCTCTAGAGTCCCACTGATGTACGCAGAAACCATGACTCCTGCCATTAGAATCATGAGCTCAATGAAGAAAGGGACATGGCAGTCAGATCTGGAAGAAATGGAACTGGGACAGGGTTGGCTAGACCTCCAAGACATTAATGAGTGGGGTATGCAGGAGAAAGGATTCAAAGCCATATTACAAAGTGTGCAAATGAGAAAAGCGCATGCAGTAATTCGTTCACATTAGGAATTATGGCAAGTAAGCAGAGAAACAGATGAGGGAAATCAATTTCTTTTAACTTCTTCCAGTCAACCTCTGTGTTCCTTCCTTATACACTTGCCTCATTTTCAAATGCTACCTTCTCTCTACTGGTCAAGAGCAAAAGGTTGAGCGTAAATGTGTATATCAAATATTGGCATGAAAAGTCTATCAACTCAGTTTAGAAGTTTCATGCTGAATGGTGTTGAAAAGTCAGTCCAAGTAAGGAGAAGAGTGGAGAACTGAGTCTTGAAGAGAAGCTGGATTTGTTAATGCACCTTCGAGTGAACCGGATAAAATAATCATTCTTAACATCTACTAGAATTTCCCCATGTTAGGTATTTCATTTCATCAGACTGAATTCGGAAGGAACAAAAACGAATAATTTGGAAAAGCAAAGCCATCATGTTTAAAACTGTTTCGAAGAATGAATTTCTGATGTAATTTAACCTCAGGCATTCACATCATTTTTATAGTTGCAGAGCAGAATGCAGAAGATCTCATCTTGAAGACATTGCACCTGAAGGAACTATTTTAAAAGAAATTAAAATTCTTACTTGACCAGTTAATTCCTGTTGAGGTGCCCCTCCTACAATCTCTGTGCTGTTTGGAGAAGTAAAGTGTCCTGCACTAACAGCATAACCTGGGAAACAATACAATGTTGTTATACATCACATCAAACGACACAGGTTTACACTTATAACTTTTGGATCAAATCTCATTCATAACACAGTGATGGATCATGGCTGAACAGTTCTGGAAGCTACAAGGGAAGTTGGAAGATTAATTACCAATTACAAATGACAAGCATATGAAAACAATCAAGGAAGCACAAGCAATTACCACGAATTGGAGTGGTAATTCTGAAGTTTCCTGCAGCTAAATATACACTTGCAAAAGTGATGTTTATAAAATTCAATATTATTCAGCTACACCATTGATCTCACCCAATCACCCAATGATATAATTTGCTGGCAACCCCAATACTTAGGCTACGATAAGGAAAAACTTCTTTGCTCAGAGAATTGTTAGGATTTGGAATGCGCTGCCCAAGGGAGTGGTGGAGGTGGATTCCTTAGGAGGCTTCAAAGGAAAGCTGGATATATATTTGCTAATGATTAATTCAGAGGGCTACACAAATAGAGCTGGAGAATGGGACTAGCTGAATAGCTCTTTCGGGAGCCAGTACAGATATAATGGGGTGAATGGAGTGGGTTAGACATGGGAAATCAGTCTGGGTGGGATGCTCTTCGGAGGGGTGGTGTGGACTTGTTGGGCCAAATGGTCTGTTTCCATACTGTAGGAATCCTATGATTCTACGAATGCCTCCTGTGCTGTAAAATTCTATGATTCTATGATCGCCTCATGCTTTGCAACTGCATTAAGTCTGGGTCAAGATAGCTGCGCTAGCACACCGGCTAACCTTAAACATATAAACCTTTTTTAGTACTATAGTCATGCATCATATCCAGTTATGTTTCCAGATATTTCCTTTTGTAATCACCTTAACATACATTCTATTTCTGAGCATTCACCTACTCTACAACATGGAACTAATCTGTCTCTGGTTTTAACATCACATGTCAGCAACCTGAACACTCATCCCGCCAATAAGGACAAACTCACATTTGCAGAGCCTTCAGTCCTTGGGTTCTCAGGAATCCCAGAAAGTTTCACAATTAATTTATTATTTCTGAATTAAACAAATGCCACAGCACAATTCCATGCACAATGGATGAACAGCCAGTTCACCAATGTTTTTCTCTTGGTGCTGCTGACAGTAGTATGTTCAGCAGGACGTCCCGATTCTTCAAATAGCAGCATGTGATCATGTATATACATCTCCGCAAAACTAGATGTTATGTATCATCTGAAACTTAGCACTTCTGACAATCCAAAACACTCTCAGTGTTATACTGATATTCATAGTGGACTAAAGCAGCAAAAGCACAACAAACATGTTAAAATACATAAATTGGTTCCTGGTTAATATTAAAGAAGAAAGTTACAGACCTTTCATTAGGAATAGCAAGGTTCTTCTAAGATTTACCCAGCATTGAGCTGGAGCTACATTTAGTTCTTAAAGTGCTTACATTCATCATGTGTATAAAACAGGTCTCATGATGACCAGGTGTTGCATACCTAGGTAGCTTCCATACTGAACTATATTTTCATCATCCGTGTAAAAGAGCAAAGAATCTGTCTTTTCATTCTTGACAGCAACAGTTCCAGTCCAATAATGAGATCCAGGAGCTCCCATTATGATTAACTCCTACAGCACAAAATGTGGTTAACATATTGCACATATTCATTAAGATTCATTACTATGTAAGAAGCAATTACCACTTACCTCAGTCAGAAAGCTAGCAATTCCTGCCTGACATAATTCTCTTTCTCGATCTTTCCATCTATGTTCTAACAAAAGAAAAGGAATTTCACCGTCATCCAAGAATGTTTTATTTTGCGAGTACCAATTCACCTCTCAATTAAGTATGAAGAAGAAATATCAAAAAGCACAAGGAGTTCCCAAAATGCAGTCCAAAAAGTGGCCAATATTCTGTGGTGGAATTTGCAATCCCAGTGGAAAACAGTCTTTTTTCAGAAATCACAGGCCTATAATTTCCCAGCTAACTACTCTGGAGTGCCGGATCACAGGCTCATTTTCAATAATAATTGCAACATTAATTTCTCAAAGTACAGGCAGTAGCCAGGCTGTGAACGGACTCCAGAACAGAACCTGCTCACAAGTCAATTTGTATGCAGTTCAGAACACAGTGCAGGACAATGTAGAGGAACTGTTCATAAGAATAGGAAATGGTCATACATCAGGTTTTTAAAATTACACCCTTGTATGGAATCGCCGTGTTAAATATGAACGTTCATAAGTTGGACATTGTAAAATCAGAGCACCCCTGTACACACAAAGTAAAACACCACGTAACAAATAATGACACACAAATGGTGATAAAGCAATTACTCTCACCAAGCACATCAATCTTACCCATTCAGCCTATCACCTTTTCCAAGCCAAATGATACTTGAAAAAATTTGAACGCCACAAGGGCAATTATTCTTATAGAGTGGAATCCAAGTGGAGCACTCCTTCCCAAAATTATGTGTCCCAATACCTTTTGTGCATTGTTTATTAAAAAGAATCAGCCCCAAGAAGCAGCTCTTCCAATTGTTGGAGTAAAAGCAGTAAGAATTCAGGCCAAGAATACCTTTGCGTGTTGCTAAAAGCTCAGTGAAACAAGTTTCCTCATTAATTTCTTCACCCTCCTCCTCCTAATTTATACATTAATGATCTGGCCACATATGCCCAGTAATAGAAAGCTTTCTGCAAGCCAGTTGGTGAAGTAGGAGCTAGACAGGAATAAATTTTTTTTGATAACAGGTTTATTTATACGTGTGTTACCTAACTTCTACCCCTTATCCTCATTAAATAATGTCCTTCAACTGTGATTCTTAACAATACAAACATAGTATTAAGGATTCAATATAGTGGGATTCATAGAGTGCTGTCAATTTTGATTCCACTTTCCTTTAATCTACGCAAGATTTCTCATGGTGACACACCTACAGCCAAGTAGGCCAACTCTAATGCCTATTCAAACATCAATTCCAACACATCCATCTTTATGGTAAATCATATCGGAGGAAAACTTGGGGAAGTATATTGCTCAAGTAAAGAGCAAGCAAGCGGGAAAACACCTGATCAAAGGCCTCTGTGCAAACCCTTGTGTGCAATGGGATTGCTACAGAAGTGAGCTGTGACTAATGAGCACAGGCTTTTCATGCAATCCTTTTAGAATCTTCAGATTTTCCTACATGACCCGTCAGAAACTGTGCAGAGGTGGTGCTCTGGCACAAACACAGAAATTGCTGGAAAAACTCTGCAGGCATGGCTGGCAGCATCTGTGGAGAGTAAGCTGAAGTAATGTTTTGGGTCCAGTGATCCTTCAGAACTAACAGCTCTAACATCTGTCCAAAAATGCAATAGTTAAAACAGCCTGACACACAAGAGCCAATGGCAACTCCATCTGCATCAAGAGGCTGGCATGTGGTTACTTGTGTAGCCTACAACGCTCTGTACCTTAGGAAAGCCTGACGCCTATTGTTAATTAAGAGTCAGACAGTCATGGTGAGCCACAGCACTGAAAAAAGTCTGCACCAGTCAAAATAAACCACCTAATTATACTATTCCCATTTTCCAGCACTTAGCTCATAATGTTGTGCACCTTGGCATCACAGATGCACATATAAATATGTCTTAAACATTGAGGGTTTCTGTCTCTATCACCCTTAAAGGCAGTGAGTTCCAGATTCCTACCAGCCTTGGAATGAAAAAGAAAATCCCCATCTCCTCCAAACTTCTGCACCTTCCCTTAAATCTATGCCCCCTGGTTACTGATCCCTCCATCAAGGGGAAAAACCTTTACTCGCCAACCCTATCGAAGGCCTTGTAATTTTTGCAAACAAGAATTTGCTCACTTACTTTTGTGCATCAGTGGAACATAAACAGATTGTCATGGCAGCAAATGCTGACTTTCAAGGATCAGACGAGAACAAAAGACAGAAATGGGACTAACAGAAGTGATTGGCAGAGGAATTAAAGGCCAGTATCAAACAAGGCCATTGTAAAAGATGTTAAGAATGGGACAAGGAACGTTAAAAAGACAAGAGTTAAGGCTTTGTGCCTGAATGCACAGAGCATTTGAAATAAAGTGGATGAATTAGTCACGTACATCGATGTGAACAGGAAACAAGACTGCAGGGTGACCAGGAATGGAAACTGAACATCCAGGGTCAGTGTATTTAGGAAGGACAGACAAAAACTGAAAAGGCAGGAGAGTTGCTTCAGTGGATAAAGAGGATATAAACACAATATTGAGGAAAGATATTACCTCAGACAATATAGAATGTGTGTGGGTAGAATCGAGAAATACCAAGGTGCAAAACGTATTAGTGGGGTGGTATATGGACCACCAAACTGTACTGGTGATGTTGGAAATGACATTAAACATGAAATCAGAGATGCATTTGGTAAAGGAAAATCTGTAACTATGGGTGACTTTAATCTGCATCTAGATTGCAAACTAGTCACAATACCATAGAAACGGAATTCCAAGAGTGTATTCGAGATAGTTTTCTGGACCAATACGTTGAGGAGGCAAACTAAAGAATAGGCCATCTTTGACTGTGTATTGTGCAATGAAAAGGGAATAATTGGTAATGTAATTTTGTGAGAGATCCCTTGGAGATGCATGGCCATAATATGGAGAGCGTAAGACAAGACTGTGTCTTTAAGAGAGACGTTCTGTGCTGCTTCTTTTCTGAATTCCCTAGATTAACTGAAAAAAAGATGTGGACAATTTGAGCAGATCATTACATTCAAAGATCAAGGAAAAACTGATGGAGAGAGAAAGATATTACCAGACGAGGGCGAGAAAGAGATCATAGCCCAGAGTTAGTAAGAACTGCAGATGCTGGAGAATCTGAGATAGCCCAGAGTGACTGGGCTTCACCGATGTGCTCAGGCTTTGGATTGTGTCGCATGGGCAATTGAGGTGTCCGAGCCCATCAGCCTGACGGGACAAATTATCCTACACACAGCTCCATAGGTCTAGTAGCCTTACTGTGGTTGGGAAAATTAAAAGCAGTATCAGACAGCCATAGAGCTAACTGGGAGTGTGTTCTACTGCCAGCAGAAAAACATACAGGCGTAGTGAAAGACATAGTAGTAAACCCAGCAGGACTGATGGTAAAAGAGGGGAATGAGCAAGACTGTGCAAGAGAGAGTGACAGGATTGCTTATGAACCATTAGAAGCAGGAGATAGAGTGTCTGAGTTATGGATCAAGGGAATATTACAAGGAAACACCCCGCACTGCTTGCGCAGTGTTAGATGTCGAGTGAAATTTGATGGCAGGAGGGCAGATTCCCAGGAGGTACTCAGCCCAAGTAGCAGAATTAAAAGCCCTAACAGCAGCCCTGAAATTAGCCAGGGTCAGAGAGTCAACATATACAAGATAGTAGTTATGCCCTTGGGTTCGTGCATGATTATATGATGGCTGGGCTCAGAAAGGGTACATCATCTCATTCGGAGGGGGGCACATACTGCACAAACAGTAGGTTAAAGACTTGGTGGAAGCAGCTAAGTTGTCTAGTGAAGCAACAGTAATTAAGATTAAAGCCCATAGGCAGGTAGAAACCCTGCAACGACAGGGCAATGAGCATGCAGATAAGGCAGCTAAAATGCTTACTGAAACAGCACAGGCATTTGAGGAAGTGCCAGTAGCAGCAATAACAGAAGTAAAAGGAGAAAATTTAAAGACACTCCTAGAAACAGCCCCACCAGAAGAGAAGCAGAAACAGAAAGAGGGAGGAGCAAAGAGAGGACAAGACGGAGTGCGGAAGATGCAGGATCAGGTAATGACACTGCACTGCATAAGACAAACCTCATTAAAAACATATCATAGTCTGGGCGGGATATTGGGCAGGATAAAACATGATATCAGATGTCCTGTTGTTGGTGGTGGTCTAGAATAGGGAGAGATACAGGAAAATTCTGTCGAAGGCGTGTAGTTTGCGCACAGTGAGAGCCAGGGAAAGCAATCAAAATAAAATTGAGCCATCAGCCGAGACCCAGGGACCCATGGGAACAATTGCAGATGGATTTTACAGGATTCCTGCCCCAATCCCAGGGAAAGAAATACGGTTTGGTCGAAATAGATAGATTTACTCAATGGGTGGAAGCACTTCCGTGTAGAGATTAATTACTGGGGGAGTCCAGAACTAGGAGTCATAGTTTAAGGATAAGGGACAAATCTTTTAAGACTGAGATGAAGAGAAATTTCTTCACCCAGAGAGCGGTGAACCGGTGAAATTCACTGTCACAGAATGTGGTCGAGACTGGTTATAACACGTGTGGCTAAAAGGAAATGGGGAAAGGGCATGATTAGGGTATTATTGAGCTCGATAATGAGCCACAATCATAATAAAAGGTAGAACAGGCTCGAGGGGTCGAACGGCCTACTCCTACCTTCTATGTTTCTAAGCTATGGTTCCCTTCACAGCCACAAGAAATAGAGCTAAATCTATCAATTCAAGTCAAGAAAAATACTTTATGTAATTTCTGACAACTTCTTACCACCAACGCTATACTTCTCCCAATTTATTTGAGTAAAATAAAGTGCTATTGCCACCAAGGTAATAGCAAAAACATTGCCAAATATTTTCTGTAAAAGCCATTTACCAAATGATAGAAGACAACATTGACTGCCATCAAAAGGCTTTATTTAGAAGACAGTTACTTTGGTCAAACAATCTGCTGAAAATATATATTTTTATTTTCTTACCTCTAAAACACGGTATCAGTGGCAAATCTTGAGAAGGTTGCAAGTCAGTTGGAATTTTAAAACACAACCCAAGAGGCCGTTTATCAAACGCCTGGTAATACACATTTTTCCACCGATGTGCACAGGCCTTTTAAAAAAATATTTTGGATGTCAAATGCAATATAAATAATTTAGTGTGCTAATAAATATCAAAAGAACTGTGGATGCTGTAAATCAGAGACAACAACAGAAGTTGCTGAATAAGCTCAGCAGGTCTGGCAGCATCTGTGGAGAGAAATCAGAGTTAACGTTTCGGGTTCAGTGTCCCTTCCTCATAACAGAGAATCAGTTTTCATTTCAGGTCGAGAAAGCGTCACTGAACCGGAAACGTTAACTCTGATTTCTCTCCACAGATGCTGCCAGATCTGCTGAGCTTATTCAGCAACTTCTGTTTTTATTAATATTCTAATACATTTGTTAAATATTCATTTTGAACAATGTGTAGATACCAGTATGTAACCATCTTTCTTTGGCTGTCTTGACAAACTAACACCAAGCCACTGGTTATCTTTCTCTTCCATACAATCAAATCCGCATGATTTTCCTGCTGGAATACCTGCAAAAGAAATATGAAGTATTTACTTCTGTATCAGCATGCAATATTACATCAATATAAACAGAACACAAAAGCAACATTACCACTGAAATCAAAATTGAACATCAAACTTTTCCTTCATTACACAAACATTACAAATTTAGTAAAATACTTTCCAAATTAACGTGTGCCTCCTTCCCCAGGTCACCTTTTAAGGCCTGGCAGCAAAGGGTGCATCTTCACAATGATAAGGTTGTGGAAAACAATTCCCATCCAAGAAGTTCATAGAATCACAGAATCCCTACAGTGTGGAAACAGGCCATTCGGTCCAACAAGTCCACACCGCTCCTCCAAAGAGCATCCCACCCAGACCCATTCCCCTTTCTCTGCATTTCCCATATCTAACCCACCTAACCTAAACATCCCTGAACACTATGGGCAATTTAGCACGGCCAATCCACCTACCCTGGACATCTTTGGACTGTGGGAGGAAATCGGAGCACCCATAGGAAACCCACGCAGAAACGGGGAGAATGTGCAAACTCCACACAGACAGTTGCCCGAGGCTGCAATCGAACCCGGGTCCCTGATGCTGTGAGGCAGCAGTGCTAACCAGTGAGCCACCGTGCCGTGGAGATAGGTTTCTTCAGATTCTGCAGGGTTGCTCTGCACTGATCATAGAATGGTCCAACAAATGAAAGTCCAGCTTCCAGACACTAATTAGCTGCATTATGACATTCGCTGTGGCTGCATAGATCTCACTGTGGCCGCACTGCCCTCACACAGGACGGTAATAGAAGGATTCATTCACCAGCTGGTTAGGGTGGTCATGCTATATCTCACCCAGTAGCCTGCCTCTGAAACCCTCGTGGGCCAAATATGGGTGTGGTGAACTGGCACAGGATGAAAATGGTGTAACCTCAGATGACCATGAACTGCATCTTCTGGACAGGGTCATATCTGGGAGAGGGTCACACACAAGTGGCACATGAATGGAGCGATAATCTTAGGGTGATTGTAGAACACGTAAAAATGAACATGAAATCTCTTTACTTTTAATATGTGGGACTTGTGGAACCGCATACATGCACTTGACTGCATCCTGTGCCACTGGGAATCCCACTCATTCACCAAAGCTGTGTGCTTCCACTCCTGCTTCTTCTCTCTGGTTATGTAAGAAAATGATAAAATCCACCTCCTTCTGTCACCTTCCTGATGCAGTGATGTAAAGATATCACAGTAAAGTGGAAGCAGCAATTTATCTAGACAATACAATCTTGATTGCCACTTGCAGCACCAACCTCACCCCTGGTTGTAGAGGTGGTTGAGTTCAGTGATTATGATGACCCCCATGCTGGCAAAAAGCCTGGACTTTTTTTTTCAGTGCAATGCCCCTTTAAGAACAAAGCGGACTGGGGACATCTTGAAATAGAGTTCGTTAGTTTCTTGATTCCGAGATCATTAGATCCCAAGAAACATGCATGTGATTTGGGGCTGCAGTGATGATGAACAGCTAAAATCAAGAGGTCATTGTTGGAAGACTGGTAATGTATGCAAAGAGTAAGACAGTGAGACTCGCTCTGGATGGAAATAGTGCTCTGTTTGTAGTTTTCAAACAGATCCTCATGTTGAAGCAGGGTTTCAAGAATAGAAAGAATCTGTGTTACTGTGTGTGCTACACAGTTGCAAAGAACAATGAAAAGTAACTGAACAATTTACGGTAATGGTTTTGGTTAAATGAGAAGTGAAGCTAGGGCACTGGGAAAACTCTTCTGTTGATATAATAATGTTGTTAGATCTGATATGCTTATCTAAACAGAGATAGGATTTTGTTTTAACATCTCATTGATAAAATCAAGATATTAATGGCAGGCTAAAGGGTGTACTGGTTCTATTTACAGCGTTTTTTTTTAACAAACCAAGTAGTAAAAGTTTGCTCAGGAGTGGAGTGGGGGAGGCGGAAAAATAAATGAACCTTCCAACAATCAAACAAACGTTCAGAAGCTAAAACTAGCAAAGTGCACTCCTACTCTCACAAGTAAAAACACAGCAAAAAGCAATTTACTCTTGCAATATGGTTCATATGGAACAAATCTAAATATAGTGCTACGCTTTCATGCAGGCATAACTATTTGCATAACTGTTCAATTTGACTTATTTCACAGACAGTTCAAAGGCATTTGTCTTCTGCTCATAGTGAATGCTGGAGCAGACAATACTCAAGTGACAAGATAACAGCTAACACCTCACTTAAAATCGGTTTCAGCTTCTTTGCTCAGTAAGCACAAGAGAAAATAACTTATTGACCTGAGAAACCAGTTTATTGTTATTCGTAAAGCACCATTGCTTATATCACATCACCTGAAACTGGGGTGAAGAGTTGAAACGTCGAGTGTACAAGTAGCCCTGGGACACTCTGGCACTTACTGGAAAGCGTCCATTTGAAGCATTATGCATTGAACAGCTGTACACCAACGGGCTAATTTTAGTTTTGAATGCACAACAGGAGACCTGAGCCATTTTCAGAGACAGGCTGTCTTTGCGAGCTGCCAGCAAACGGAGACTGCAGGAAATCTGCCTAAATTGTTCAGCTGCTTTATTTGACAGACAGCGCGTGAACACAAGGGCATTGGCCACAATTGGATGTAATATTGGATTAAATCATTTACTTCAAATGAGACAGGTAATAAAGTCTGGTTTGGAGGAGTTTGTGGGGAAGCTGCAAGAGCTCAAGACAGGTAGGGCTGGGCAAGGGCAGAAGACAGAGGGGCTCTGCTCTATCTGCAGCAATTAATAGACATGTGAGTGAAAGAGATGCTAGAACAGATTACATTAGGAGCAGCTATAAGAATTCAGGTGCAAATCAAGATTAAAACATGTACCAAAGAAGATTGGTATTTGACTTGAAATATTCACTCTTCCTCTCTCCACAGATGCTGCCAGATTCGCTGAGTTTCTCAAGCATTCAGTTCAGTTTCAGAGTTCCAACATTCTCAGTACCTTGCTTTTATTAATAATATAGCTATCAGGATTAGCTTTAATGGCAAGGTAATTTGAGAAAGGTATACATCAGGCAGCCCATCAATGTTCCCAGTTTTACGAGACAGGAATTAAAAGCTATCCCAAGTCTCTAACAATGGGGAAGTAACGAACAGCAGACATAGCAGGACATGGTGGATGATGTCATGCTTCTCGAGGGTTGTTGGAGCTGTACTCATCCAGGGAAGAGGGGTGTATTCCATCAAACTTCTGAATTGTGTCTTGTAGATGGTGAATAGGCTTTGGGGAGTCAGGAGGTGAGTTATTTGCTGCAGGATTCCTAGCCTCTGACCTGCTTTTGCAGTCACCGTGTTTATATGTCAAGTCCAGTTAATTTTCTGGTCAATGGTAACCCCCAGGATGTTTATGATGGGGGATTCACGTAACACCAGTGAATGTCAAGGGGCGGTAGTTAGACTTGCTTTTACCGGAGATCACTATTGCCAGGCTTTTGTGATACAGAATAGCAAAGTGGGAGACTAAGGTGCTCTTCACACAGCCAGTGTGGACATGATGGGCCAAATGACCTCCTTCTGTGCCATTATCATTCCATATTTCCATATTTGTGGGACCAATGACCTGCCATCAGACTAATGGAACTAGTTTCTTTGAAGTTGGAACACAACTAGTCAGCTGTCAAGTGAAATTTGCTGACAAGCCATGCCATTGATTACTACCAAAAAGCACAAAATAAACAAGAAACACTGAAGAAGTTAACTTGTAAACCAAATGCATTTCATTTTCTGATATATTCTTTAAACAGTTAATACTCAGTGTGTTCATGTGGTAGTCAAAACTTCGTCCTGTTTTTAGGTCAATAAGAGTTACGTCAGGGATTGAATCAAAGTGGACTGTCACGCCCAGTAAAACAAAAGTTTGTCATTGAGAATATGGGCTGTGTGTGAAATGAAAATGATGGAGGGAAATAGCTGGAATCACTTATTAGATGTCTGGCATTTTGCATATTCTGTCTGAGTGCAGTGTATTGGCCAAAACTACCAAAAGTAAAATCCTTCTTATTGTAATAATATTGATATTTTATTCAAAAAACAGGTTTGCAGCAGTAAGCTAAGAAAGAAAAACAGAGTTTTAAAAAAATATAATGAACTTACAGGTCCTTTATTTTGAAGTATATGAGTCTGACTAATATGTCTCATCTATCAGTTTAACTGTGGCTTACAATGAAAACAAATTCTAAGTAATCAGTTTCAAAATATGTTTAAGGGGAGGGTTTGGGGATGGATTGATAATGTGTCAATTCACCAACGCCCAACACTACATCATGAGTTCTACATTGAAGATGACATTAGGGAGTTATAGGAAGCAAGTCATGGCGTTACACCTTATATTTCTGTCCTAACAGCATGCAATCCTAGTATACAGTATTACTCATGTCAACAAAAGGTTAAAATAAATTTTAAAAGCTACTTTGGCCTATGTTATGATATTACATTAAACGGTAAACAGCATCTGGCCTTAGGTCCCAGCATAAGTGACCTCTGACGCTCACACTGGTCATGTTTGTTGGAGTTGTTTATCACATTTATAGATATCAACAAGGAAGCTACATCAGAGCAAGACTTAAATTAATTCAAAACCCCTGCACTTGCATTGAGTTAACACTGGGCTCCAGGAGAGCATGTCAGGAGCCTGCCCAATGGTGAGAGACACCACAATGTGGCAGAGGATGCCAGGTTGGTCGCAGAAGAGGTTTCCAATGTCATAATCTTCAGAGGGAGGCAGGGATCTGATGGCATAATCCTCTAATGATTAACTGTATATCTCCAAGCAGTGTCAGGAGAGAGCAGATTGACAATTATCAGTTACCTACTCATTCTTTGCAGGATTAGTTGATTAACTCCATCGGTCAGTTTATATAAGTTAGGAAAGGGATATTACAGCAAATGAACTGATGCAGTACAGACCAATTGCCAGGAAGGGTCACAACATTGTATACACATGGCACATGAAGTACTTAAATT